GTATGTATACATATACATATAATACCGGACCGCAAATTCAAATGCTAAAGCACACACCTGAGCTATTGGCTTGTCTATGCTCGACTGCTCTATGGTATCCGTATCCAAGTCGCCCAGACGTGCGCTCCTTGACATCGACATGTCATCGGTGTCATCTAAATCGTTCACATCTTTGCTTTCATCTCTTTTCCTACTTAAATACTTGCTGTATACACTTGTTGCATCACCCCCAGAAATACTCCGTGTCCCATCTGTATGTATAAACGCAGTCGGGGTGCTAACTAAGCCTGTGGAAGTGGATTCCACAGGCGCAGAGAAGGTCTGTTTGAACATGTCTTACGAAGTGAGTGGTCACTCTGATACCACTTGTGTGATGTAACAGTGGCTGGAGCGTACTCACAGTTGTTGGGGATGGACACTCTGTCGCTAACCCTGTAATAACATATGGTCACTCATAGTTGTTCCTGGGCATGCATATACTGTTAAAACGACTGTACGGAGATAATGTTTGTATACACTCGCCATATATTTATATGTTTCTATATGTGGACTGACCGGACTCTGTATCATAATAACCTCTTTTTATTAAAAATCGATGGCACGGGTGTTCCTTCAATGGCAAAAAGTAAATAAATAAATAAATAAATATTCAAGAGACCCTCTCCTCTGTGTGTGTGGAGAGTAGAGAGTCACTCCCTAGTAGTCCTCTACTACAACACAGGAATACACCCAGTAATACACTACACATAGCCTTCTGAATTCAACAGGGTTTAGGGTTTTTTGAGGGCTATGTACACATAGCCCCCTGAATAATCAACAATGTACGTACTATGTACTGAACAAAATTTTGTATCTCGGACTATAAAAAGAGTGTGTCTGCTGCCCTTGTGTTGATGGCTACTACAGCGTTGCCAAGAACACACCACAAGGATAAGTATGCTGCTTAGTAATGAGTCTCGAGGTTGAGTGCTCGTCCGGAATTTTCGTATCACATAGTGCCTGCAGCTTAAAACTATCTCATTCTGAAGTAATATGTGTTGTTTGTTGTTCGGCGGAGGTGGTAGGAGGGGGGCTATGATACCGATCGTCACTGAGTCATATATCACATTTCAGTAATATTCCAGGCGCGTACTTGTTTGCAGGGTATTCCGAACTTATGTATGTGAATATTGAACATCTCTTCTTTGTAACTACACAAAGAAAAGGGAGCATCGAATGTTTGTAAAAGAACGCCTCAGTTTCTTAGGAATACTACCCATGACGTTTCAGACTTGTCAAATACTGTACGTACATGTAAATCGGCCATTCGAGGGGTTCAACTGCTTATTACATCAGATATATAGTGAGTCCGAACTACCTTTCCCCGAGTGACCTTCCTAGTATCTTGCAACAAAAGTATTCCATTTAATAAGGGGATGAATAAAAGTCGGGAAAATATGCAGGCAAACACCAAAAGTGCAATTACAAAGCGACAAATGGATGTTTATGTAACCTCTCGTACAAACGAGCAGTATCCAGGGCTTGCCCCGGAATAGACGTATACCCTATTTGTATGAGCTTAACGAAGTGGGTCATCTGAGGTCGTAGAAAGCGATGAAGTACAATACCATGATGTTATAGAAAGCTACATTCTGGTTTCCACCTTTGGTTTAGAGCTCATATACAATCCTTTTATTTATTCATATGTCTGCTTTGTGGCTGATGATCCCTTGTTGTTTTTTTTTATTAAGTAATTTTTTTTCTTTCA